TACCATTCTCACCACACTGGACCAATACCTTGGCACCCAGCTCGCACTAGACGTTGATCCAAGGCAGTCAGCTTTCAGGGAGAAGTCTTACGGCTTTTCATCTCATCCCCTGCATGCATCGACCAACTAGAGATTTTAATAATGCAAGGAATTCGCAAGAGCAGGCGAAATATACACAAACACTGATCTCTGGCCGAAGGAGACTCGAACCTACGAATGGGTAAAACTTGCGGTTTTACCCATAGCACCGCTCTTCTTGCCGAATAAGGCACTGAAAATTTGTGTGTGCAATAATTTGGCAAAAATCATTCTCAACCTAACACAAAAAAATATATTTCATTGTGTTTGTTTATTATCCAATTATTGTAAACTTATCTAAAATATATTTAGTTAATTTAGGCTTAATTAAATTACTCTTGTTATAGTAAGGTTAGGTAAGTTTTCTAAGGTTCTTTTGGTACAAAATTATTAATTTTTACATTAACATAAATGAAAAAAATGTATACCTTTAAACGTATACGAGAATTTTTTTACAGAGGACCTAATTTTGAATGAGTTCTTGCTAATTGACCAGTTTTACCTATTCGGCAAAGCATATATACATATTTACTTGTATAGTTGGTAAATGTGCATGTGTATGTCACTCTGTGGCGTCGTTAAATTAGGAGGCATCTCAGGAATATTTGAAGCAACACTGCTCAAAGGTTTTGGAAGTTATGAGCGTCATTCCAGGATGCTGGAAATGGGTTTTACGACACCTGATCATGCGTCATTCCAGGATGCTGGAAATGGGTTTCACGACACCTGATCATACAAATTATTCTAGGAATTTTGCATTCGTTGCTGTACACCAATGTTGACAAACTGAAGCTGATTTCACGAGGCCTTGTAGAGACCTGGTCATAGACCGAGCTGCGGGGGCGTTGACCCCCTGAACACCCTCCAGGTAGCCAGTTTAATATATTCATTTCTTTATTATTCTCCCCGTACTTATTCGAAGAAGTTACAGAGGTACATAATGGGTCTAGAAACTCAGTCACAAAGTTTTGAAAGCTGAATAAGTTACGAAAGTAATGAACTATTCACACGACTACACCTGATAACTGCAATGAGTTATTTATGCAAATATTAGCTTCATTTACAGTTAGAGAAGTCACAGTATTTTTCCAGAATAGTTTGTAATATACCACTGTGGATAAAATACTTTGACATATCTTGAATATTTTTGAGCGAGTTGTCTCTGTATTTGTTAAATTTATCGCCAGGTATACTCTAGCTATATCATATTGAATTAAATATACACAAACTGCTTCTCTTGGTACTTTTATATCATTAGTATATCCGAGGCAGTATATGTCAGTACGGGAACGTAATATTTGTGTCACCGTGAATAGTGTACTGCATCAGTCACTGGAAAACTGTAGTATAGTAATGAACCCCTTCAGTGCAGGCGAAATTATTGAGTTGGTGCAGGTTCAGAGAACCTTCACTACCAGTATATACAAACATTTGAACATCTGGGAACGTTTGAGGTCTCTTAACTTGTCCATAAAATTACAAGTTGCAAGTTACACCTGGCAAGTGTTGGACGGACTGGTCCCAAACATGCACACACAATTTACTCCCTTTGAAAGCACGAGATTTGCCAGTGTGTGAGAAGTATGTCCAGTAAAAAGCATGAGAGAGAGAGACGAGAATTCTAAGAATTCGATTAATGTTAGTTCTTCGATTGAGATTTTTCAAGCTTCTCTCTTCGTGCATACGGGTCATTACCAACAATTCTTTGGCTGTCTTAAAAGAGAGCTTCATAAGTTCTTCAAAACGGTTCCTGACCAGCCGGATTGTGGCTCAAACGTTGGCCTAAATGCTGGTCTGGGACCGTGTCGCGGGGGCGTTGACCCCCAATAAAACCCTATCATTATCTTTCATTTTTAGGCAATGTATCACTGAAGTGAGGGGGGAAAGGCAGTGTATGTCACAGGTGGGAAGTACTGTATAAATCCCCGCGAGGGAAGGAGGATTTATATATCTTAAGATGGGATACTGGATTTATATGACAGTGAATATAGTGAGTCACATTTATAAAAAAATATTAGGCATAACATAAATAAACAAAGCTTATAATTCCCTTTTTTTTTTGAGACTTGTGACAGCCTTCACTACGTTACCTTAAAGGGAATGGTGACAGACTCTCTCTTTCCTAGAATCAAAATTGGGAGACTTCAGTTAGATGAGACTAACGTCAATCATTCCACCTTAGATTTAGTAACTACAGCAACTTCAAATGTTTTGTACCAGCGTAGCTTGAGTTAATGTTACATGGGACTAACAACCTCTAACGATGTGCTCAACGCGTTTGTCGCATTCACACATAAACATTAATGAAAATAATTCCAAAATTCAGGATTTTCCATTAGTTTTTATAAATTAGCTTCAGTGGAAAAGTGTGCTAATTGCTTTCTGTAACAGTGGATACATAATTCCTGTTGCAGTTATACATTCAACATATCACACACAATTAAAAGGTAAATTATGAATAATGTGTTAAAGTATTATTAATCAGACAAAATATGAATATGTTCCCATTTAAAAGTCCATTAGAATGTATATTTCTTTTCTTTTTAAATTCACTTACAGAAATTTTGTTAAAATCAGGAAATACTCTTGTATATCTAGTATGGTATAAGAACTCAAAATATTTTGCACCGGCTGATTTATGAGCATAGCTTGTGAGCAGAGTCTCTGCCCAAGTTCTCTAAACAAACATGTCTTACACAGTTATTTACTTGACACTCTAACGCTCCCTCCAGTCTTACACATGGAATGACCTGCATGTACTTAGTGGTCACAATCTTACGAAAATAACTTACAGGCACTTTGTTAATGGTAACAATCTTACACGTATCGCATTTTATTCGGCCTAAGTCACACACCGATGTAAACATACCTCACGACCAGTGAACCAGATGCTAAGGATTTAACGATCAGGGGCCCCATCGTTATACCAGCCAATCACAAGCCCACCCAGGCTGTGAAGTGCCGTGGGACTCCCATGCAACAGCTTCGTCAGACTTACCCTCACTGTAACAGTTCTTACCGTGTCTTGTGCTTGCATTTTTTCCTCACTGTACAAGAAAAATTTTGACCTTGATTATGGAGGATATCTAAGCACAAAGGAGTCACACAGCCCGGGTACTACCCGAAGAAAATGAAGAAATGTCAGATTCCTCGAATCACAGGAGGAAAGTTTGGCCTCATCGAGGCTCGAAGGATCGAGGTGTTTTCTTCGCAATAAGTCGTTGTTGTTGTCTTCAGGAGGGATGCTTTGTCGCTTGAGAATTACTTGTGGTCTTGGATCGGAACTAATGAGCTACATGACCCGTAAGGGTTCAAAGCTTGTTCATTAAATTAGTAATAATAATCCAGAATCCCAGAACAAGTGGCACTTATGAAAGGATTCAGGGAAACCGGTGGGATGAACGTCAGTCCCAGAGGTGGGAAGTACGCTGCCTGCGCTCTGAAGGTGAGGTGGGAAGTACACTGCCTCTACTATGAAGGTGAGGTGGGAAGTACACTGCTTGCACTCTGAAGGTGAGGTGGGAAGTACACTGCCTCTACTCTGAAGGTGAGGTGGGAAGTACACTGCCTCTACTCTGAAGGTGAGGTGGGAAGTACACTGCCTGCACTCTGAAGGTGAGGTGGGAAGTACACTGCCTCTACTCTGAAGGTGAGGTGGGAAGTACACTGCCTGCACTCTGAAGGTGAGGTGGGAAGTACACTGCCTCTACTCTGAAGGTGAGGTGGGAAGTACACTGCCTGCACTCTGAAGGTGAGGTGGGAAGTACACTGCCTCTACTCTGAAGGTGAGGTGGGAAGTACACTGCCTCTACTCTGAAGGTGAGGTGGGAAGTACACTGCCTGCACTCTGAAGGTGAGGTGGGAAGTACACTGCCTCTACTCTGAGGGTGAGGTGGGAAGTACACTGCCTCTACTCTGAAGGTGAGGTGGGAAGTACACTGCCTGCACTCTGAAGGTGAGGTGGGAAGTACACTGCCTCTACTCTGAGGGTGAGGTGGGAAGTACACTGCCTCTACTCTGAAGGTGAGGTGGGAAGTACACTGCCTCTACTCTGAAGGTGAGGTGGGAAGTACACTGCCTGCACTCTGAAGGTGAGGTGGGAAGTACACTGCCTGCACTCTGAAGGTGAGGTGGGAAGTACACTGCCTGCACTCTGAAGGTGAGGTGGGAAGTACACTGCCTGCACTCTGAAGGTGAGGTGGGAAGTACACTGCCTGCACTCTGAAGGTGAGGTGGGAAGTACACTGCCTGCACTCTGAAGGTGAGGTGGGAAGTACACTGCCTGTACTTCGAAGGTGAGGTGGGAAGTACACTGCCTCTACTCTGAAGGTGAGGTGGGAAGTACACTGCCTGCACTCTGAAGGTGAGGTGGGAAGTACACTGCCTCTACTCTGAAGGTGAGGTGGGAAGTACACTGCCTGCACTCTGAAGGTGAGGTGGGAAGTACACTGCCTGCACTCTGAAGGTGAGGTGGGAAGTACACTGCCTGCACTCTGAAGGTGAGGTGGGAAGTACACTGCCTGCACTCTGAAAGTGAGATGGTGCAGTTCTGGAGCAGATAAGTACAGTGCTGGTGATCTGAAGGTAAACAGGGAAAGTTGCGGTTGAGAGAGCCTCCTGTACTAGGCTGGCGATATAGTTCCTCAAGACAGGGACTGCACGAATGATGATTGATATATCTGATTTTTTTTAGGTCACATAATCTTGGTCAAAGACGACCGATGATATATTAAACGTTGGAATTAATTAAATATGGATAAAAAATAAAATATACACTGTTATTATTATTATTATTATTATCATTATTATTATTATTATTATTATTATTATTATTATTATTATTATTATTATGTAAAATATTATGTAAAGGAGTACTTAAAAAGTACAGAATAATATGTAAATGTTTTAAACTGCTTTTGCTATTCATTTAGCAAATCATTACAAACCTCCAGAAGAAATATTCTTTCGCTGCTCATTGAAAATCAGAAGTTAGAAATAAATACTTATTAAATTTCCTGGGCAATGTGATTTTTAATTAGTTCGGCTAAAAGTTAGATATATATATGCAATTAGTGTTATTTATGCAACAAAACTTTAGAACACTGTCCATATATTACCAGGGAGTCGAAATAAGGAGAGTGGGCCTCGAGGGAAGGGGGGAAGGGGGTATGGAAAATGTTATATATTTTTTTTAAATTACATTTGAGAGAATAAATTGACTATAAATAAACAAAATATTAGCATTGGGGATGGAAATCTTCATCTCGGGTACTTTCACATGTCTACGTGTTTCGTCAGGAGCTATCCAATGTTGAAAGAGTATCAACAGGAGGAATGAAGGAACGTTTTCTCAGAGTCAGGTAGTGTGATGTCTTTTCTCCTGAGTACACAGGCACCGTCTGTCACCCAGACATCCTGTCTGGTAGGGTACAGTGGATGTCAGAGGTGTAAAGAAACCTGGAAACAGAATAAGAGGAAATTTAGTTGGTAGCCCTAAGCTTCATTTAATCACTGTCAACAAGTCACGTGACAATACTTAGTGAATAATACATACAGTTAAAAAAGCGCAATGTAACAACTCTCCTCCTTCATATGCAGACACTGTACTTTCCATCTCCAGGACTCAAGTCCGGCTAACCAGTTTCCCTGAATTTTTTCATAAATGTTACTTTGCCTACACTCTAACATCACATCAATTCATAAAGAAAAACATTCGTCTCCACTTGCTTCTAACACGCACGTGCACTATTGTTGGAAGTCCAAGCCCATTTCACACGAAAGCTCCTTTATCCCCTCGCTTAAAACCGTTCCTAGGACGACCCCCATCCCGTCTTCCTTTCACTATAGGTATATATGCCCTCCAAATCATTCTGTTTTGTTCCATCCTCTCTAAATGTCCAAACCTCCTTCTGATCTCCAAGCTAATCATTCTCTGCATTATATTCACAAAACACATTGCCCTCAGACAAGACATCTCCACTGCCTCCAGACTTCGTTATGTTACAACATTCACCACCCATGCTTCACACGCATGTAAGAGCGTTGGTACCACTATGCTCTCATACATTTTCCTCTTTGCTTTCATGTATGAAAAAAAACCATACCACGGGCGGGGATAGAACCCGCGATCAGAAAGTCTCAAAACTCCAGACCGTCGCTAACGCGATGATCTGGAGTTTTGAGACTCTCTGATGGCGGGTTCTATCCCCGCCCGTGGTATGGTTTGTTTGCAATCGTGTCAACTGAATTATTCAACAATTATTTTTACTCTTTTTTGTCCCCTTTGCCTTTATGAAAAGGAACTATACATTTTCTTTTCCGGTCTTTACAAACTTTCCCTTCTTCCATAAATTTATTAAATAAAAGCACCAACCTTTCCAAAACTATATCCCCATCTACTTTCAACATTTATGTCTTTATTCCATCAATCCCAGCTAATTTAACCCCTTTCATTTTACCCATTGCCTCAGGCACCTCCCTTACACTTACAACTGGCTTTTCCTCACTCCTACAAGATGTTAGACCTTCATGCCTAATGCACAAAATCACAGCTTCCCTATCTTCATCAGCATTTAACAGTTCCTCAAAATATTCGCTCCATCTTTGTGATACTTCCGACTCGCCGTCCAATAACTCTCCTCTCCTACTTTTAACTGTCAAGTCATTCGTTCCCTAGGCTTTCCTAACCTATTAATCTTTTTCCAACACTTTTTCTTATTCTCAACAAGATTTTAAATAATATCTTAACCACTCTCTCATTTGCTCTCCTTTTACATTTCTTCTCCACTCTCTTAACCTCTCCTTTTCTCTCCATATAATCCTCCCTCCTTGCATCGCTTCTAATTTGTAAAAGCCTTTCCTTCTACTCTCTTTACATCATCAGTCCACCAGTCGCTCTTCTTCCTTCCCACACCCATTTTCCTGTAACCACAAACTTCTGTTAAACACTCTAACACTACATTCTTAAATCTATCTCATACCTCTTCGACATCATTCTCATTAACCCATTTTAAGTTCATGGTATGACTTAACAAATCTTCCATTCATAGATGTGTTGATTCACCGAGTTAAGAGAAAATCCAAGTTTACAATTTACAGAAAGGCCACTAATGTGTGCTCATACATTCACTATAGTTCCAACCATGAGACAAGAGGAAAATGGAGTGTTTTTCCCATTACATTTCTGAGAGATTACAGAGTGTGCAGCACAGAGTTTCTCGATGACAAACTTATGAAAATATTTGATATTGCCACGAAACTGGAGTACAATAAGGAGTTTGTGAAATCATTGTTGCTGGCAAGTAGGAAAACCTATCATAGGTCTGAGTCCAGGATAACACGTCAGATCAAGAATGTGCCAGTTCTCCCATACAATGAAAATTTATATTTTCTGATGAGTGCTCTTAAATGATTTAACATACATATAACTTTTAAGAATTCACATACTATTAAAAGCACTTTGCTAACGAAATCTCTTCAATATTATGTTGATGGTGTATACAGAATTGGTTGCAATGGTTGCAACTTATCTTATGAGGGACAGGCCAGCAAACCTCTAGATGTTAGGATATCACATCACCAATATTCGATATGAACTATGCAGGAACTGGATGCAATTTTCAACCACATTAGAATCTGTAATAACTGCAAAATAGTCAGAAGGCACAGTCACTGTCCTCTGCTCTGCATGGCTTGAACGAGATATTGTAGAATCGGCAATTGTAAAACATGATAAACATTCATTATATAGGAATAGTGGTGGCTTATTCAAATTCGATTCATTTATATTTGAGTCTATCATGCATAGCCTAAAACTGACTCCTATAAAAATACTTTGGATTGCCTTAAGTGTTGTAGTTCCGCACCAAGGAATTACATCCTGTGTTCCTGCTTGTTCTTCATGGTTAGATCAGCGTCTGCCCAGGAATCTTGTGTGAGAGATAAACTATGACCATCTTCTTATGGATAAACTACAGACGTCTTCTTTTAATTTTAAGTCTCAGAAGAGCAATTCTTGCTTGAAATAGATAAATGACACCAATCAGACCAGTGCCGAGAGCCAGAAAAATGAAGGAAGAATATTAAAGCACCGGAATACAAACACTTATAGTGTAGTAATGACCTAGCAGACATTAAATTAGTGATATGGCAATTATCAAAAACTCGACCAGACTTTGATATGTTATAAAAGATTTTACATTCTGATTTTAGATATATCTGGCAATTGTCTTGAGAAAATTCCATAACAGTAAGAAAAATGGGTCATTTAAAGTGGGAGACATATATAGTTTATCAAGAGGGAGACATTCATAGTTTATCTATCTCACCCAACTATTGAACAGACGCTGGTCTAATGAAAGAAAGAGATGGAAAATAGGTTCTAATTACTAACTGTAGAACTATTGAAGATCCATTGCTTTAGTACAGGAATCCACCTTCAGATTATGCACAATGGCCTCAATTATTAATAAATCAAGTTTGAATAATCCAAAACTAGTATTATAAAATGAATGTTTATCATGTTTTATAATTGCCACTAACAAAATATTTTCTTCCAGCCATGAGGTATAAGGAACTAAGCCTCTTGCTTCTGACCAGTTTGCAGGATCGTTGCAAACTCGTGTGTGATTGAATTTCCTATTCGAGTCTTGAGCTATTCTTACTGAATATTAGTGTTGTATTAACCTATAAAGAGTTGCTGGTCTGTCCCAGTAAGTTACAACCATTACACCCAACTTGTAAACACCACCAATACCATGTTGAGGGGAATTCCTGATCAAAATACTTTTAACCATCCATGAATCTTCAAATATACTTTTATGTTGAATATTTTTAGGGCATTCGGCAGGACAGATAAATTCTCATTGTATAGAAGAACCAGCACATTTTAAATCTGAAGGGTTATTCTAGATTCAGTCCTATGATCAGCTGTTCTAGCTGATCGACACCATGCCCAGCCCTTCTAGGGTAGGGTAGGTGCCTGAGCCCGAGCCTTTAGCTCATAAGACTGGCATTCCCATTAGCCCCCTTGGGGTGGGGATGGCAGACCAGAGAGGCCTAGCTTGTGGCTAGGCCTGGGGACAGTTGGTCCCAAAGATGAGGAGGTACTTGTGCCTCCTCCCATGGGAGACTTAGGTCTCAGACACTCCCTAAAGAGGGAGCCAAGGCCGGGCCACCACTAGGACAAGGCCCGGGCCGGGAGAATACCGGCTAATCTTTAACTAACTAACTGTTCTAGCTGCCAAAATAATTATTTCTACAAACCCGTTAGGGTTATGTAGTTTCGTAGCAGTATCAAAGATTTTCTGATTTTCCTTTTGGCTGGTTTGTTTTCTCCTGTTTCATTGCTCTGCTTTCATATTTTTGGCACTTGCCACTGGTCTTCCTGGTATCACCTTCCTCATTCAAGGTAGAATCGCTCTCCTAAACGAAACTAATTGGACTTAATACTCATTTCTAAAATATTGCAAGCTCCTGACGATGTGTTGATTGCAAACGAAAGGAACAGAGCTATCATTCAACTGTAATCCCCTGTTGTTGTATTGCATCTTGTATGCCTTGTTCGTAGTTATTGCATAATTGAAATCACTTGCACCTGTTTTGCATTGATTGCGATGGGTTTTTTTATGTAAGGGAGACTGGGGATAGACAGTACTTCGACAGTATATTTTGCAAATGTCAAAGATTCGTAGTCAGTTAGTTCAGTCAGTTAAGCTGTGCTTGTGAGAAACTTTTGCTTCACACTTTCCAGTGCAGGTTCTTCGTTTACTGGAAGGTTGGAGCTTTGTAATAGTGTGTTGAATACAGTAAGAATGGAATGCTCACTGGAAGTATAATTTTCACGCTTCCTTCGGACGTACTTTGGTCTCTGTTGAGAAAACTCGAGTAGTGAGGAAAACATAGTTACGTGCAGGTGTTGCGGAGAGAAGATGAAGGCTACGTGCAGGTGTTGCGGAGAGAAGATGAAGGCTACGTGCAGGTGTTGCGGAGAGAAGATGAAGGCTACGTGCAGGTGTTGCGGAGAGAAGATGAAGGCTACGTGCAGGTGTTGCGGAGAGAAGATGAAGGCTACGTGCAGGTGTTGCGGAGAGATGATGAAGGCTACGTGCAGGTGTTGCGGAGAGATGATGAAGGCTACGTGCAGGTGTTGCGGAGAGAAGATGAAGGCTACGTGCAGGTGTTGCGGAGAGAAGATGAAGGCTACGTGCAGGTGTTGCGGAGAGAAGATGAAGGCTACGTGCAGGTGTTGCGGAGAGAAGATGAAGGCTACGTGCAGGTGTTGCGGAGAGATGATGAAGGCTACGTGCAGGTGTTGCGGAGAGATGATGAAGGCTACGTGCAGGTGTTGCGGAGAGAAGATGAAGGCTACGTGCAGGTGTTGCGGAGAGAAGATGAAGGCTACGTGCAGGTGTTGCGGAGAGAAGATGAAGGCTACGTGCAGGTGTTGCGGAGAGAAG